AATAATAATAATAATAATAATAATAATAATAATAATAATAATAATAATATAGGTTTTAATATATCGCAATATAATATTCTATCAGGGCGCCATTACACACTAAATGTAATAAATAAAAAAAGACAAATTAAATAGAAAAAGATGCTTTTTAGGCAATCCTTAAACCTTGTCAAAAACTTTGCCTCCTTAATTGGGAGATGGTTTCATAATAATGTTCCCCTGCCAGAAAAAGATAATAGCCAAATTTTGCTAGTTGTAAGACTGATGCCAAAAAAATGCTAAAAGTATGAGATACGGTAATGCAATATTGTGTACCAATAAAGAGATTGTTTATAATGATTACATTGTAAAATAATGTTATTGTAGTTATTTACATTGGATAATCATCTTTCGCATGATAAACAGTATACAGCACTATGCAGTTGAGTGGGTTTCTTATGACAACCTATTACATAACAGGTGTTATATGTCAGTTGAGTTAAGTCTTTCATGATATTTAAGTGTGTCTTGGCTGACAAAAGTAATACAGACTTGCAGTTGAGTGGTATTTTAATTTTAAAATTTAATATTTTCAGTTGTAGGCCCCTAATTTAAAAATCTGAATACATCACAAAGTGCATTATGTCCCCAAAAGGGCAAAAAGCTAAAAAAGTGCATTTTGAAAAATGTGTCAGTTGAGTGGTTTTTTCATGACAGGGCGCAGTCCCCTGCGCAATCGTAAAGGCTTTGACCGACCATTCAGCATCACAGAAAGTTGTCTTGATTAAGAAGATAAGATGATACTACTTGTTTACATATTATATATGTATGTATGTATATATGTGCGTATGTATATATGTATGTATGTGTATATATATATTGTACACTAATATATATATATATTATATATATATATATATATATATATATATATATAGTATACTAACGTTCGCTTTTATATTTTAAGGAAATACTGTATAAATATTATGAAGAAATTTGGATATTAAAGTTAATATAATAGCCAATAAAGACAAATCGTGAAACTTAACAAAGGATGGCTTCCATTATTTTTGCTATTATTATTTCGAATGACGCAGTGTGCAGCCTGATGTGTCACGTTAATACATCGTTGTGGCAACGTTGCAATGTTATTTAGTTCTGTAATTACGTTATAAAAACGTATTTATGGTTCTTCAAAAAGAGTATTTTCTACCAACGTTTTCACAACTATACCTAATTTCCGTAACGTCCTTAATCTGAAATAGTTACAAGTTAGAATATTTAAAACTTGTTATAATATTATGTGACAAAACCTTTTTACATTTTTATTGGATAAACAATTAGCGGTACATTTGTACATTTGTTTATAGTTTACCTTTCTTCTCTATGTTGTTGTTAAGCGCCTTGAGGCTGTGGCTACGTGAGGCGCTATATAAATCTAGAATTATTATTATTATTATTATTATTATTATTATTATTATTATTATTATTATTATTATTATTATTATTATTATTATTATTATTTCGAAATTTACATAAATTATTGCTTAATGTATTTTTCCGGTACTGTATCATCAATAAATTAAATTTCATTTTATGTAGTATAGGTGTTAAAAATGAACTAAGGTCTTCAAAGAGGATAGCTCCAATAATATGTAAATGTACCGTACTTTTAAATGTTGAAATGTGCCCTCAAACTTTAGATAAATTCAGTAGAGATCTATTAAAGAAGAATATCACAGAATTAATCAATTTTACAATTTCAGAAGATTACAACCCTGAAGTGGTAAAAGTTACATGTACCGGATCATCTGCACAACCAAAAGGTAAATTAAAGGCTATATGAAACATATAACACAATTAAATAGATCCTTACCATTTGATTAGTGGATTTCGTATCACATGACATTGGTTGTTTACACCATTTTGTCACTCATGAAAATTTAGTTCCATCCGTGCATTTTGTTCCATTCCTCTTGTTCCATTGCAAACCTCTACTTAATACAATGTTTTCAGTTGTTGAAAGAAGATGGACTGGTCCATTCAAAAGAAAGTTACAACTTTTTTTTTCAAAATATATCGAATGACAAGGATCTATTTTTATTTAGGTGTGTTATAAAACGTATAATGAATGTTTTGTATTCGTGCAGTTGAAAGGATTCATTCGTTGAATGTTTCATGAATGTCATTCTTCCCGATGCACTAATAAACATTTATCATTCGTATAATATGCATTTATGTCATCAAACTCGATGTATTTATGGTATGGCGAACTTTATGGTACTTGACTAAGACCTACAAACAAAAGAAGTACCAAAACCACAACTATTTTTAAAAATTCATGTGTCTGTGTTGAGCTAAAACAAAATTTAAAAATATTATACAGATAATGAATGTTTATGAGTGCAATGGGAAGAATATTTTCATGACTTGATAAGATTGACTGTTCCATTCAACGAGGCGAAGACAATTTCAGCAGGAAGTGGGCTGGTGGTTATAGGTGACGTGACGTCATTTCATGGATATAACCTTCCTGAAAAAGTCAGTCTGATGAGTGATGAAATGGGGAAAATAACTAATATCACGTGGTACGAAATCAACCAATCAAATGACTGGGATATATTTAGGTGTGTTATAAAATTCAATATATAGCGTGTTAAAAATATCCCCAGAAATGGTAAATGCATCTCTGACCATCTAGTCACATGAGGCCTTAGAGATTTGCTATGTCCATCATATTTGAACATCGCCATCATCATCAAAAATAATAACGACATCATCATGATTATCATTATCACACTCCAATACAAAACAATTGGCATGAACCTGGTACTGTGGTTCATTTAGTTCAAACAACTGTAAAATATAACATTGTGAAAATTATATACAATGAAATTGTAGTGGTGAATTTGTTCTGGAATATAGTTGCTATAGAAAATAGTAAATTATATGATTGCAGTAGTTTGTATAAATATTAGAGCTAAATAATTGCTCCAACATGATGGTAATAAATATATAATTTGTATAAAATCTTTACTCATAATTGCTTCATATTGTTAGTACGCCCTCTAAACTATGCTAGATATTTCTTACAAATTGCTTCATATTGTTAGTCTGCCCTCTAAATTTTGATGGTTTTTTTTTTGGACATGTAATATGTTTTTTGTTTTTTTTTTCAACTGCAAAGTAGTTCTTAAAAAAGAATGGCGCCCTCAGCATATGAATGCATTTTTGCACACAAAGATATTTATAAAAAGTCTTTTTTATTTTGTCATGGAGTTTCATGATATGAATTATTATATCACGTTTATGAAAAATGAAACGGTGGTCAATGTTTTGTACGAGTACGAATGAGATACTTTCTCTTTGAAATACATTTTAAAAATTAGATCTATATAATATAGTAACAACATCACCATATTATAAGCTTCTCCTCTTCTTTTCTCAAACACTCACATCATATTGGAACATTTTATCAGTTTTTATGTCATTTTATCACACCTCTTTGTCTCATCACATCACATACTAATATTATTTTTACCTTTTTTGTTGTTTTAATGTTTAACACACAAGGGGTAAGATATTTAGGAAAGTCCAAATTCAAAATTCCAATTGGGTATATTTTATGGTGTAGGTAGTACACATAGAGACGGATCTCCTGCGTATTTTCTTTTTCAAATAGGCCTGTACTACATTCTTTATTTTTACTCAGCATTGTCAAAGGATATGCCAAACAGCGAACTTATCAGTTTTTTTAAGCGACAAACAAAACAAACATACACTCAAGGCAAAGGTCTAATAACAAGATAGACTTGCATGTATCAAATAGAAGCGTCCTATTCACGCAGAAAACAATAGATAGTAATTTAATTGAAGGAGGGCGTCCTAGTTGTTACTATGACGGTTGTTCCAGAATTTGCACTGAGATCATAGATGTCAAAGTTCAAAAGTAATAGTAATTGCAAGAGGACGTCCTACACTGCGTTATTATAGAATTTGCACCAAGAAACGCTATCTTGTTTTTATAAGATGTTTGCTAAAGGTGATATAAGGTTTAGGAAGTGGAGTTGGTTTTGGTTTTGGTTTGTTTTGTTTTGTTTTGTTTTTTCTCAGCCCTCTAGACCAACCACAAGGAAAGCATAAAACCAGACCAAAACTCGTACAATATCAGCTAATCTCATCTCACTTTTTTCTCTTCCATTTTTTTTTTCCAATTTAATAATGAAACACAAAACAAAGCATGACATCATTCTCATCTTATTTTGTTTCATCAAATGTTTGCGTTAGGTCTATCTCATCCACTCATCTTATTTCAACTCACCAAATTTTGTCATATGCATATCTCATTTCATATTTACCCTCATCTCATTTTATCTTATATCTCTTCTTATCTCATTTCATGGAATAAAGTGAAGCCGTAGCTTGGTGGGTATTATACTTGCTTTCTAATACCATTGTCCAGGCTTAATACCTCTGACAACAGAAAGCTTCCACGACTAAACCACATGTTCATCTTGTATGTGGCGAGTAACTCGTTGTTGAACAAAAATGAACAAATAATCTTACCATATTTTATCTTACATTACATTACGTATTCTCTATCAAAATGATTTTATTCTATCGTACATTTTCGACTCATCTTCTCTTATTGCATCTTGCCTTTCTTCGAGTTGAACTCATTTATAACCAAAGTAATATACTTAATCATTAGGATGTTCATCATATTCCAGGTTGATATGAATTTCAGTTCATTCACTTAACCTACAAAGCAGCCTTAAAAAAAATATGTCAGAATGATTAGAGCAGGATTGGCTATGTTTACACTGTATGTACACAATGCTAGTGTGTTGTGACTCTTTGGACACACACACAGAGGATGGTGTGAGCACATTGTGGAATAATATTATATTTTCTTAAACTGTATCCACACTGTTTACTTTTGTGTACACACTGTGTAAACCTCAGCATTTCCGCCCCAGTCAATATAATCAACACAGTGTGAACAGAGTGTCCACGCTCTGTACACGCTGTGATATGTTTCAATGATATGAATATTCTCCGTAACTTGGATTTTGCATAAGTTATACTTTTGGACCAGACTAATCTATGACCTATCCAAAATTAGAGCCTACACAATGTACACGAGGGAGAGTATGAAAAAAAAGTACATTCTGTATATAACCACTGTTGATATAACTATAAACGATCGATTTCATTAATTGTAAGCATTCTTTACGTCATTCCATACTCCTTCAACATTAGTATCAGGATTTACAAAATGTGTAATCTATACTAATAATCGTAAAACAGGAAGTAATAAAATAAAGGGGAAAAAAACAGTAAATAATAATAATAATAATTTACCATTGAAAGGTCTAATTCTGGGGTGATGATTTTTCTTCACAGTTCTTCCGCGGGTACAAGATCCTCGCAATGGCGGCGTCGACTTGGTATTGACCAGCCCAACTCTCATTTTATCCACATTCCTAATGTGTTTTCTAATTGGTTGCAAGTAAAATAGCAAGCAGGTTGATGGAAAGAATATTTTATTGTAAATTAAAATGAAAGGAAGAAAGCTTTACGAAGATTATACAGAAATTATTATTCGATTGAGGATATATGAAACACCGGTTATAAAAGGATTTAGAAGAAACGAAGATCATCAGCAGAAGTGGAGAAGCTACGTTGTTAGTTTTGAACTTGTGGTAGAAAGTATAAGCCCACCAATAATATCTTAACAGACTGAGCAACTATATCGTGTTTTCACTAAAAAATATTTTGTACATGATCAATAGATAAGCATTGAGTCTTGTTATGTAAAACTGTACAACGGTTGTCGTGATAGCCTTTGAAAATAATGTGTTTACCCTAAAAAGCTGTAAAGTTACGTAATTCTGAAAGAATCAGTTGTAGTTGGCAGATAGGAACCCACTGAACAACTTGCCTGATTATAAAGTGTTATCCATTGCTCTTGTAAGTAGTTTTTGAATAGGCTCGGTATACCGTATACACGGTGATCGCTCAATTAGTTTGACAGCGATTAAATGAATACTTTATCTCGGGACTTGTCCTCCGGACAGTGTGGCGAATTTCTGTAAGATATTTTATGAAACTGGACCAAAATTGATGTGAGTTTAAGCGAAATTAAGTTTTAAGGCTTTACTCATGTTGCATACAGAATGACAAATATGTGTCTTAGAAATATGATATTTTGCAAGTATAAAATAATTATAAAATAATATAGTATAACTGTAATGTAGAGATCATGTCGTTCCGATAAATGTTGAATCAGGAATGCTGAAGATATTCAAACTACTGTAGGCCTATCATGTTTTTTTTTTAAAGTGACGTATAATATTATATATACAGACTGTATATCGAAGCATTACTGTAAACCACAAGCATAATCTTGTTAGACCAACGTACACATTATTTAGAATAACGAAGCTGTTTTAGTAGACTGGTTCTTAAACTTTTTCATTGAATTCTGAAATAGAGCTCCTCTCTATATTATAATTTTTAAGTCGCCTTGTGTAAGCCCCATTCTTTGTCATATATGGCTTCACCAGGCATATATCATTTGATTAAAATATGTACTGATAGACTTTTATACAAAATGAAGTGTATACTGTTTGCAGAATAGAATAAGTCTAAGTTTTGTAAGTGCTTTTTTCCTATGATAAAGATAAGATAAGTAGTTTAAGAAATATACTCATCGATTTAGGTATACATGTTGTGAAAAAAGAATCAATCGATACAATTCCAGTACGAATACAATACACTAATCCAATGTTTGTGTTTTGTACTGTAAAGTTATTTCGCATTTGTTGTTGATGACTCGAACATAGCTTACGTTCATATTTGCCTACGGACAATAATAACAATAATTAGCACGAATGTCTCATCTAAAAAGTCATTCACCATTATCCTAAGTACTGTCAAAAGACAGTTATCTGAACAAATTGGAGAAACTCATTGACATTGGCGTCAACTGAAACAACCAATAATGAACATCGATTTTAATATAAATTATGATGAAATTGCAATACCCACTACTTTAATTAGAAAGATTGTACGGTACCGACAACCTTCCGGAGACAACCTATGTGGCTGGATGTCAGTTTTCAAGTGTCGTTATTCACATGATAATCAGCAAAGAATTAGTACTGTAATAAAGAGAGAATTTTAAACAGGTAGCCATTTTATATAAATGTTTCCGAGATAATTACTTGGTAATAAATGGAGCTAGCGAATAACAGTCAATTAATCTGACGGTTACGAGCCGATTTTCATCACTCAATCAATCCATCAATCATACGACTATGTTATTTCTAGACGCAACGAAAACTCCTTTACACGTACCTCAGAGATCATACAAACAGTTTGTTCAGAGAGAAAAAAAAATGCCTGAAATCCACGTATGAATATTAATTTCGAATGTATAATGTTTTCAGAGTAAACACATGACGAAAGTATGGTAAATTGTCGGATATAATTTTGTTGCCGTATGCTTGTGACATGTACTGTATCTACTCTACGCACATTACATCAGTGGACAACCCCTCAATACTTAGCCCCCCCCCCCCCCCCCCCCCCCCCCCCCCCCCCCCCCCCCCCCACCCACCCCCCCCCCCCCCACCCCCCCCCCCCCCCC